ACAGTACCACAATGGGAGAAATTCAGACAGACCTTTCTCCTGCCCATCCAAAACAGACTGCTAAGAGCTTTGGCCTATGCCCTCTTCATGCTGAGAAATGCCTTTCATCTAGGTTTCCGATATCTCTGGCACTACCTTTGGCATGTGTTTCAGGAACTGAGCTATTTTACAAAAAGGCCAAGTCATCACTTCCCCCTACGCCAGCCACATTTGAAAAAGAGATTTATATACGTGGTCCTTTTGTTCCGCGATATTTTCTCATCCGGTGTTTAAAATTATTATCTTGAAATTAGAAAAACTGTGAATATGGACTTCTCTATGGACTGGGCTCTAACACACAGAATTCCTTTGAAAACAGGGGGACTTCACCACAGTCAGATTTGAAAAATTGGCAGAAATTTACAGGATGCAATCCCTCTGTGCTTTCCTCTTCTCTTCAAAAATTCAACCTGAGGAAGAAAAAAAAAATTAATGAAGTTTCTCACTGAGACTTTCAGTAACTTGATATTTGAGCAACTCATTTCTCCAGCATTACTTTGTGCCAATTTGATTTGCTTCCTTTCCAGTCATTAAGGGTGTATTTATTAAGCTTAAATGTAAATCATTTACATGCATGACATGATTACTTATGAAAGAGTTGCATTTTTCCCCCTTTGGATTAAGGTGATTTGGATTGAGGAAAAGAAATTTCTTATCCATTGCCACTAAATTAATGCACAATTATTATTGTTAATAGCTGCATTTTCGAGCCTGTTCAACATCTCTCAGCAAATTTTTTTTTGATTTCAATTGATCTTGGCAGAATCAGGGCCCTTAATCTTTCTTTTGTATCAAAAGAGAGGCTGTAAGTAGGAAAAAAAACCCTTCTACTTATGAAATGCTTTGAAATTAATTGATACTCAAGAAAATGATATTAATCAGTGAGTGTGGGGGGGTGTGAAGTTGATTAATATTGATGTGAATGTCTGTACAATATCATCTAAACATGTCAAGGAGAATTTCTGGAGTTGCTTGAGGGAAGGGAGAGAGGAATACAATAAAGAGGCAGAAGATCATAACAGCCTCAGAACAGCCTAAGAATCTCACACGATAGTGTAATACCTTCTGCAGTAAAATTCCTGTGTGATCTTTTTTTTTCTTCTTTAAAACATTTACTCGTGGAAATGGGTTCTACAGCTGGAGGAAAAGTAATCTTAAATGTAAATATACCATTTTATAACACTGAAAGGTAGGCGGGACCTTATAAAATTTAATCTCATATCTACAACTATACTGTGGCTTCTTCAAGGACATGTTAGTCATAACTCCCAACTTAATGACTAACGGTACAAATACAAGCAGCCTGAAAAAAAGTGTCTACTATAAACTCTACTTGCTTAGAGTAAACTGAAGAGTTATTAGGTGGGATTTCAAGAGATCATCTCTGGCAAAGGGACCATTAACCCTTTGTCCTTCCTGGCAGATTTTTATCTAGATCTAGCTGAAACATTTGCAGTGGTAGACAATCCACAGTTCATTAGGGAAAAGGAAATGAGGAGTATAATATGAGAAGAGAAAAAGGACAAAGACAACATAATTGTGCTCTAACACAGTTCATGTGTCACTCAGAATGATTCAACTATCAGGAGAAAGGCCAGTGATAGGACACTGGCCAGTGACAGGACAAGGGATAATGGGTACAAATTGAAACACAGGCAGTTCCACCTCCATATGAGGAAGAAATTCTTTCCTGTGAGGGTGACAGAGCCCTGGAACAGGCTGCCCAGAGAGTTTGTGGAGTCTCCTTCTCTGGAGATCTTCAAACCCTCCTGGATGCCACCCTGTGCCACATGCTCTAGGTGTCCCTGCTGGAGCAGGAGGGTTGGACTAAATGATCTATCTAGAGGCCCCTTCCAACCTCAACTATTCTGTGATTCTGTGAAAAATAAGGAAGACAATTAATTTAATTGATCTTCACAGCTTCCTGTGTAAATAGAGACCCCCCTTTACTGCTCCAGAGACACACAAGTCTTGTGTCATATCTTTTAGTTCCTTGAGATGTCTCAGATGCATTGTAACCCTATCTGTAGATGACTGGATTGAACGAGCAGACCATGTTAGCTATGGGCTTTGCTGACTGCACTGTCTGGCTCTCCTTTGACTGCCCTATAAGCCTGGATTGTCAGCTGACAATGGACACCTACATTTAGCCATGTCTGTCTGGATGTCTTATCTCATAGCTGACTCCTTACTGAGCTTTCAGGTAGGTGCCTCTTTGGCAAAGCATTACAGAGGCAATGATGACACTCATAGAGGCACATCATGACAAGAGAGAGGGCATATCCACTTTTAGCTTAAGGGTTTTCAGCTGACACCCAGAAATACAACCACAGGCACTCACATTTGCATACAAAAAAACTGCTTTAGCATTACTGCATACAGCTCCTTCTTTCTTGTATTTGTTAAATTTGTCTTTTTGAAGCGGTTGTCCTTGTTCTGATTTTTAACAAATAAGGAGACATTTACGTATATGACAGAGCTCTCTGTAATAACTGTAATGAAATTAACATTTCAGCCCATTTAAGGGGTGCATTAACATCCAAACAACAAAGATTTTTCTGCTATAGACTGTATTCTTTAGGTGTGCAGAATTAGAAGCTCAGTTAACAGGGATTCCCACAAAATGTACTGCTGGAATAAGGCTACGTGCAAATGTTGCATACAAAAGTGTAATTAAAATACTAAAAAATGTTCCCAAGTTGAAGTTATATATAATGGCAAGACTACTTCAGACACATCTGTCTTTTCTGGAAATTGACTGTTTCTCCCCCCTTTTTTTTCCTGGTTACACTAGAAAGTTATTAGCTGAAATCTCTTTGCAGTGGGTTCACAAGTCAAAGAAGGTGCTTTATGCCATTTCATTCAAATTGATATGAGTTTATATGCTCTTGCTGCTTTGTAGATGTAAATGGCAATTAGAAATAGGAAATCAATTGAATAACTATTATAACAGCAAAAGAAGACAAGAAATTGTCATTTGAATACCTTTATCTCTTTCCAGTTTGTTACTGGGGAAGTGAAATATTTACATTTAAAAGAGAAAAGTTTAAAGTAGTCAATTAAAGGTTTATCATGAACTGATTTATGCCCACTGAATCCTCAGTTCTTGTTGTTTCCCTTTAATGTTCCGTAATATCACTAGATAGACAAAAATTTAGATGGAAAGTGCTGTAAAAATGACTTTTTTGAGGAGCAGGAAATTTATTGAAAATAAATATTTTGGTATTTGGTGCTCAAATCTCATGGATGTTAGAATGCAAGCTTTCTGTTCCTACTTCAGTATGGTTTTTATAAGGAAAATCAGCTGTCTTTGGCTTAGCAACAGCAGATTTCATCCTGTTCTGAAGGATAGTTTATATTTACAGCCCTACAAAACATCCCCAGTGTTCATCTGTGTGCGTCTGCAGAGGGGTAACAGAGAATGATGCAAAGGGAGAGGACACTCACATGAGAAATTTTCCTTTCAAGAGCCTGACCTAACTTCTGAATTTCTTTGTCATACTTTGACCACTAGACACTTCCTTCAGAGGCGGCCATGGTATTAGGTGGAGACCAAGCCAAGGCTTCTAACATGCTCAGCTCCTGATGGTTTAAGGAGACTTCAGGTTGAATCAGCTTACTATGGCCTTGTGTCCAGAGCAGGTTTTACTCTCTTTGGTATACTTAAGGCTTCAGCTGATTTTGTGGCAGCTTGAGGTGCAAATGAAACAATTGGTTCCCTTTACCATGTAAGGATTTGAAAAGATTTGTCTGAAATTCATTACAGAACTGCTTTTTTCATTGTCGAAATTTAGATAACAACCTTTAATTCAGCCACTACTCAACTCCTGAGGTACCGTTGGCATTCACATTTGCTCCTGTAGAAAATCCCAATGGGATTGGAATCCCACTGGGATTAGTGTACCCCTGTTCTCTGTCTCTTTTGCTCTTATCTAATGAACCAGTTTGAGAAAACCTCCTGCTTCCCAGGAATGCCTGGTCTTCTCTTTGACACTCTGTCTCTGGAGCCTTCACTGACAGAATGCTAAATTTGCAGTTATTATTTAGATGATTCTCCATGATGAAAATGCTTCGTTAACTCAAGTTGTAATGCCTTCTGCCCCCTGACCCTTTTGGCTGTGTCCTCAGTTTGCCATGGCCCCTGTTGCCATGCCTTGGCACAGGAAATAGGAGATATCCTGTGGGTGCCAAGCCAGACCCTGGGGGCACGTTTGCTATTTATGTTTGGCTTACATATTTTGCTTGCTTGTCTTAGAGGTGCAGAAGCTCCAGCAGCCCAGATAGATCTTGTTACTGGAAAAGGATCTTCTAAAACAGTGATCCAATCATACAGTAATAAGGATACTATTAATATATATTTAAGAAGTGAAATTCTGCATGTGCTTCTGGTAAAAGGAAGTTTCTGTTGGATGCTAAGTAAATATTTACCGTTCTGGTGACCAAGAATGTTGTTTCTCCAGTTTGATGTCTTTGACATGAAATGTCTTTGATGTCTTTGATCAGTTCCTACAGCTGTTAGAAATGGTTCAATGTGACAGTGGAAACTTTACGTGGGAAGGAGTTATCAGTGAAAGAGACTCTTCACTCATTTTCAGAGTTTTCAAATAGGGCAGAAAAATGCCCTGGAGGAATAGAGTCTCAATGAGTTATTCATACTCTCAGCTGGGTTTTCTGAGTCCTTGGCCAAACTAACCTTTATGAAAGTCTAACCTTTCTCATCACTGTCAAGGACATCTGTGACAAATGTAACACAAAAATTGCTTTATACTTTCATACTGGCTAAAAGTACTTTATATCAAAACCAAAATAAAGCAATATTATAGTAATTGCAAGCAGAAAACATCCAGTAAGAGGCATTAGCATTTCCTTTCATTTTTTTTTCAACCAATTTCACATTCCTTTTAAAATGTGAAACCATAACTACAAATCTCTTCTTTCTTCTCTGATATATTTACATTTAGGAACATCATTGTCTTAGGATAAAGATCCTGGGGGACTGTTACTACTGTGTATCTGGGCTCCCAGAACCTCGCCAAGACCATGCACATTGTTGTGTTGAAATGGGACTCAGCATGATCAAAACTATCAGGTATTTTTTTCCCCATGTTGTTTCGTTTCTTAAATGTCCTAAACTTGTTATTTGGGTATGATGTAACTAAACACAGTAAATTCTATAGTGGTTCAAAGACCTTCAGATTACCACTGTGAAAAAATACAAGACTTTTTTAATCCACGTAAAAGCACTGAATCCGTGGGAACAGATACTAACTGCACTTTAATAACCTGTGTTTCTTCAGAGCATGTAACACGATAGTTATGCATGCACTGGGAGAGATAGGTTTCACAGATTTTAAGGGTTCTCACTCTATGCTGTTCTCATGCTTAAGAGTAGGTTGATGAGGAGGAGTGTGATTTTTCTTCCTATAATCCCTTTAATATAATAAAACAACATTAAAACACAAAATAGACAGCTGCGGCAATGCTTTAGCTTGGGTATTGGAGTATAGACAAGCTCATAAGCTCTGTAGGATTTGCCAAATGAGCAAATTTTACTTGGTGAATTAAGTTGGTGATTAAATCCACAAGTGTGGAAGTGTTTTAATTAAGGAATGAGCTCCCATGATGTATATGTGGTTGTGTTACTGATAGATTACTGTATTTTTATGCTATAATGACTAAAAATAGCAAGGTTTCAGCAGTCCATGTATAGAGCTAGTCCAATGATTTGCCTGGACAGTGACCAATATTTAGTACCCCGAGATAAATTTTGTAAGTTTATTTATTTATTTTTTATTCATTTTATTCATTTTGCAAAGTTCCCCTTTTCCAAATCTTTTTTCTGCTGTTGTCTCCCCTCAAAGAATGTTTCCTAACCTGAGTATTTTCCTCTTCACGTGGATGTTTTGCTGCCTTGTTTCTTTGTCTGCTTCTTTTCCAGACTGTTCTAATCTACATGTGTTTCATTACGTGCATTAGAGAATTATGGTGTACTGGAGCTACATTACCCAGAAATTAATAGAGAAAGAATCTGACAAAAATTAATTAATGGAAAACGTAACTGAATAATGGTTATGCAACAATGATCTCTAAGAAGGTTGGATTCAATTATCACAGACTAAATATTGCACAGAGAGTAATCAATATTTGGCTTCTGGAATCCCCATAGTGAAAAGGAAGCATAAATTAGAGAAAATATAGATGAAAAATGCTATCAACATTATCAAAATTATTCAGAGATACACATCAAATCATTCCTGTATGCTTGGTTATACCATCTGAAACACACTTTCTTCTGAGATAGTGAATTCATCTGAAATACTGCCTGGTTTGAATCATTTTGCCTGAATTGGGATTTAGGCCTCTAAAGACAGAGTAGACAACAATCCACACTTTTAGAATTCCTGCTGCTTGTAGGTCTTCTAAGTTCCATATATCCTTAATGTAGATGGAAGTCTTAAAGTAGGTGGACCAGATTTTCCTCTGTAATTCCTCTAAGATTCTTGTTCTCTCCACTGACAGTATTTGGTTATTTTACAGGGATCAGTACCAACGCTTCTGGTGAGAGGGTGCCCAAAAATCTACTGTCTCAGACTTCTACTAATTCATTTTCTTTCCAGTCTTCTTAGTGATTTCTTAGTTAGCAGGAATTAAACAAGAATATGAAGTTTACTCATCGTAGAGCATATAAATTAAATCTGCATGGACAAAAAAAAAAAAACATGTTTTAATATGCCTTATATCCATACAGCAGTGTTAATTCATTTTTAATTCAAATTTTACAGCTTGATCTTAAACCCATATACCAGAGCTCCAGACTTGCGCCTCGATGCTCCTCGTCTCTCTTTGCAGCTGAAAAGAACTGTCCAGTACCCATCAAAACAATTCAAGATCACTACTTTCTTTATAACACTTTTTGCCTCATTGTGTCTTGTTACAAAGCTTAGAGAAGTAAAGCTTTTAGAAGTTATTCCATCCCGCCTTCTTGTACTTTCCTCCCTTAACCACTGACCACTATCGAAATAAGACTGTCAAGGTCCCAGGAAACCTAGTACATACACTAAAGTGAGAAAGTTTGCCCCATCACCCTCATGAACAAGTGAGAATCCTACACTTTTGCTGTCTTGTGGACCCCAAACTCTTCTAAACTGTCATTAGCTGTGGATACAATTGACAAAAATTACCAATGAGCCTTTCATGAGGGATCCATTCATTCAGCTGGTTCTCACATGTGGTCACAGGCAGCACAACTTTTCTCGCATTTAGATCTATTTTATTAATGTCCATCTGTACTGACAGTTGATACAAATGAGATAATAGTTAGTCAGAGATTTTACTGACGGGAACTAGATCTATCATTGCACTTATCTACAGAAAGAGCAGTCATCTTATGCATGTAAAGGAGCAAAGGGGAAGCTGAATAAGAAGAGAACAATCATGAGCATTTTCAATGCATAAGTTAGCAAAAGTCCAAAGCTGTGCTAGAGTCCTAGACATTAAGAATATATGATAAATTTCCAGATAAGGATATCTGTTTGCTGGCAGACAGATATCAAACATGAGTTTCAAATCGAACAGTAAAGTGATGTATGATCTGGTAAGACTATCTCTTCCTAAAAGATGTTGAAGTAGATAAGAGAAAGAGAGAATATACAAGTAATTCTGAACTGGAATATCTTCTAAATACCACATTGTAGCGTGTACTCCGTATACTCCAATACAAACTATAATCCAAAATATCAGCATATTTGTTCCTTTGGGTTTTTAGTACATTGATCTGAGTTGTTAGAAGTAGATAATAAGATGCAGAAGTGGAATCAAGAGAAGTTCAGGGAAAAGACGGGTAAAGGAGAAAGGAGGGGAAACACGAAAGGAAGTGGAAGTGAAGGAAGAAAAGTAAAAAGAGGTAAAGAATAACAATCATGGGGGAAGTATAAAGTGTTTCTGAAATGGAAATTGTAGAACATAGTCTGCCAGAGTCAAGAATGAGATGAGAATAATTCATCTTCGTGAGGTAACTTCATTTTAAAGATCTTGCTAAACATTTCCATAAAATGGTGGAAATTCAAAAAAGTCTTTATGCCAACTATGCCATAGTTTTTTGGCAAGTTAAAGAGTCTTGAATGGTTTTGTCTCTCGGATTCTTTCTTACTAAAAGGCCATCTAAAAGAGTAATTATTATGAAGGAAAAAATAGTCTCAGCATACAGTGTAGGCTAAACTCCAGAAACAAGATAACAGCTTGCCTACATTAAAAGTCTGCAATTAGTTGCTAATATAATATTAGCAACATCAATTCACTTAAATATATATATACTTTTTAGATGATCTCAGTTACCGATCTGCCAAATATCTTGCCTTTTACAGGAAAACAATGCTTTTTAACATGATCTATTTGGTGTTAAAAATTAATTAATTAATTAACTAATTAATTGATGCTCAATAAAGGAGACAGTTGGGAATTGTTTTTATATTCCAAGACTTATTATATAATTGACCCAATTCTGGAGCCTTCCACAGATTTTTTTTTATATAGTGTATAGAACAAGTCTCAGGGAATGAGCTTTGATTCACAGAAGACAATGTTTCTCAAAAAAATCAGAAACTACAGACTACTGCTTACCTTCATTTCTATATGGGGCTAGGATACAAGATCCTTGCTTAACAAGATTTTCACAGGTTCTGTCAGCACTTTTCAGACGCAAGCCATAGATTGAATAGGTTTCATACTGGGTCTTGTAACTGGGTCTTGTATCAGGTCTTGTAAGGGTCCATTTCAGTCACTGACTATAAAAGAGCAGAACTGAAGGACAGCATGACTTTTCTTGTTTTTTGTTTTTGGGTGAATGTATGAAATGAACTGAGTCATGATTAATAGATTTGTGAACTCTTACGACTCTTTTTCTTAGAATGTGTCAAAAAATACAATCAAAGCAATACTGGCAATATGGAGTAGGAGTGTATATATTTAAATAGCTTGTTATAACATGGTTTTGAAATGAAAAAGTGAACTTCTGATAATATTATTTATACTCCTAAATTGGAATTCTATTCTTTGTCAAAACACTGAGAATTAAGCAGCTGTTAGCTCTGCAGTAGCCCTTGCAGCTTTTTGTACTCAAATCACTGGTGCTATGACAGTTTCCTGTCTCAGAGCAGAGGCAGACGTAAGAAAAGGGAAACATCAGAAAGCATAGATATGGCAGTACCTTAATGCTGCCCATGTTGCTACAGTATCAGTTTGAGCTCAGAGCAAGCCTGGTATAATAGTGGTCTGCTATGAAACTTCTCCAAACCATAGCTGCTGCTCACCCTGGAACTCAGATTTAATTCAAAGGCAAATCCACTCTGAAGCTATTTTAAACAGTCTTCTGGGAATAATACCTGTCTTTAATTGTAAATTCGACACTGTGTAAAGTCGATCTATAAAGTATTATATATCCTGTGAGTCATAATATCTTAGCCGTGTTCTTCAAACCATTCAGTAGTTTAGTGCATCCTGTTACCTAGCTTTTTAAAAATAACAGATATTTCCTGTGGAAGCATGACAGGGTTCCCAGAATCATCCTGAAGAGAGCACTTACATCAATTCACTTACTACAGTTTCAAGTAAGAATGAAAAGGCACTTGAGTAAATTTTCTTACTTGAGTAGGAAAATTCCACAAGCCTATTTTGACTAACCAAAAAGTTTTCTATGTGGTTGAACATTAGGGCCATAGGATAGTTCAGATTGGAAGGGATCTCAGGAGTTTTTTGTCCAAACTTCTGCTAAAAGCAGTTCCTGCTATGACCCTTGCTTAGTTTAAGCAGAAAGCATGGATTTTCCTTTCTTATTCCACATATCTGAATACAACAGTGATTGTAAATCTACAGTTAAATTTAGAAGTTCTAGACAATGCCAATATCCCTGAAGAAAAGTGGCACAGGCTAGCCAACTCCTTTCTGTTAAAATTTCTTTACTTCCAAAATCAAGTAGTTGCATCTCATCCAAGAAGCCTGCTGGAGGTGGTGCTGACCCGTGTGAACTCCTGAATCTGGAGCTGGTTGTGAGATAGTTGGATGAGATAAATAAATAAATAAATAAATAAATATTAATTGTGTTTCAAAAGTCTCAAACCATAGCCAGACCCTTCTACAGCTAAACTGATTAATACATATGTAGCCAGTGTGGCACAATGTGAACCTCTAAGATCTAAATTCCAGGCATTCAGTTTCCTGGCAGCCACAGAATATGCTTAAAAGCAGATACGTGTCTTCTGGCTCACATTTTTGTATACAATTAGGAGAGTTTCTAATTAGTAGCAGAAAACTCAACCACCTATCAAAGAATGCTGGCTTGAAGGAAACCTCAAGGTCCAATTAAATCAATGAAATTTTTATCACTGACTTTGATGAAATGAAATATGGAAGTCTGAATATCTTCCGTCAGTTTCTGCTTTCTGGATAAGATATCAGACAGCTTGTGAGATAAACAGAGCTGCCTCAATAGTGCAGCTTTCCACATGCATCCTGTCAAAGTATCTGCCTGTAAAAGAGCTAAAGCAAGTAATTTTTAAGAAGTTTTTTTAGCTAGAAGCTTCATTTACATTTATATAAATGAAGGCAGAAGAACTGAGCATGAGGGGTTCCTGAGCTTATGCGAAGTGAATATTCTTCATTGTTTTGGTATCTAATACAGGTTATTATTTATAGGAAGTTGTCCCTTCCTGAGTAAATAAGAGCTCTCTATTGTCTAAAATGATCCAGTGTTTGTCGTTTCAAAGTTTTAATTGCTTTTACCCTGTAGCAGTATGCAAACAAGGCCTTCAGAAGCACACAGAAGCTTGGCTGTTAGGGAGTTGGATCTGGCTGTGGAGATAACTAAGGTGAAGTTCCTTTGCCTACACAGTTCAAGTTCAGAACTCTATTTCACGCCACATTGGTGAAGTTCCTTTGCCTACACAGTTCAGAACTCTATTTCACGCCACATCGCTCCAAATTTTAAAGAAAAGGGATAACTCTATGTTGTTCTTTTTTTTTTTCAAATATAGCAATGAACTGCCTCACTTCTCCCCCAAGTCTTTCTTATCAAATTTAGAGGCTTATAACAAAAGCTGGTGGAAACTAATGCGTCCACAAAGCGCATCCTGAACAGCTCTATCCTTAGTCTTGTGTTATAAGTAAAAGAGCCACAAGAGCAGAACCAAATCTGTATTGTATATGCATTCACGTTCTGAGCAGTCTGTTTAAACACACTTTAGACTCCCTGCAGCTCAATTCAATTGGGTCCCCTCATGCAATTAGCTTCCTACCTGCCAGCATACAGGCAGATTGCTGTGAAGGGCGAGGGAGAGGAGGACGTGAAGATAGGGCCCCACGGGTGCACCACCACAGGCAGTGGACAGGGAAAACAAAGAACCCTCAGGCAAAGGAGGCAGGCAGGTAGCCAAAAAAATCCCTGTGGGTCATGGGTGAAGAGCTGGGGTCGGATATCACCTGAGCCACACACAGGAAAAAGCTGCTGGGGATTACGAAAGACAGCAGATTAGGCAAGAGGCATAGAAGGCTCTAGTGTCATGTAAGAGGGCTGTAAGACAGTGCTCTTATGTGATGTTTTGGAAAAGGAAGAAAGTCCATTACGGCTGGCTGAGGCCACAGCAGCCTTTACAGGTTATCATAACATTTTTACAACGCAAGAAAACCCTAAATCCAACAACTCCTATCAAACCTTCTGGAAGTAGAGCAAAATATTGCTCAGTTACACCTTCATTAGTACATAGTCTAGTCAATGAGTCCTGTGCACTTTAGTTCCCATACCTTGCATACAGATGAGGTTGTAGTGTATATATATGTATAGAGAGACTTTATTATACCATTTTATTCAAATTGAGGTCCCATTACTGTGTGCATTTTTGAATGAAAAGCTTTTTACTCCTCTGGATCCAATTACCTTTTTATTTCAAGGCAGGAAAATCAGACATAACGACAGAAATAATTATCTCAGTCTGAACATAAGAAAAATGTAGACTGCAGGAATGCTCATGTGGGGAGTTGTATGACAATATTCTTGACATGAAGGATGTTAGTTTAGTAATTTTTGTAGTATATCTGCAAAATTTCTTCACAGCATGTTATGCTGTTATGAATAGCAGTGTTATCACTGCTCTTAATCGTTCTCACAATATTTAAGGCATTTCTTCAGTGTGAAGAGTCGAGTCTCATCTTGCAGAGCCAGGTGATGATGTGTTTAATTTTGATATTTCAAATGCTCTTGATTGCAAAGCAATAAAGAAATTTGTAGATGAAAGCCATAAACTCATAATATCAGAACACAGATAAATCCCAAGATTATTCTTTTTTATTAGTCTGTGATTAACTTTGTGTAAATCTTTTTCTTTTAGATACCTGAAATATGTTAGGTTCCTGATATAATGAACAAATCTCCCTTAGTAGGCGAACTACTGCACTGGGACATTTCATATGCTTTTTTTCCTCCAAGGTTTTAGATTATGCAGGAAATGGCAATAAAGCTGAATTGCTTGTTCCCAGTTCCGCACATTGTTATATCACTGACTTCTCCCCATTTCAAAACTCTCGTTTCTTCTTTTGTCACATGCTGATTTGTTGCTTCTCTTGCAACATGAAAGGGCAAGTAGTGAATGGAGTAAACAATTTATTCTTTTCTGCTCTAGAGAGGGTCTGTCAAGGTCAGGACTAAGGCATCTAAGGCAATAGTAGTTAGCTTTGGAATCGTGGAAAATGATTGTTTATTCTTTGTCTGCCCTGTTGTGTGATCTTGCTGTGTTGCTATTGACTTCAGTGACAGTAGAGTTGGTACATAGGAGTCTTGTTTGCAGACCAACAAAAACAAGGTGTTTTTCCTGTCCTGAGCATGCTATTCAAATATTAATGAACACTAACTGTAATAGTATTGTTACTGCAAATTGTTATCAGACAGGCAGGGCCGGAAACATACTCTCTTCATCGTCCTAGTGGATATACAGGGGTTGTAGGTCAAATAACTTAGCTGTGAGCTTCCCGCAGTGATGTGCCAGTGATCAGAGAGAAGCAGTAGTGGGTCTAAGATGCTACTAACCTGCCTGTGGCTGTGCACGACATATGTTGCTTTGTATAAGGAAAGGAAGATACTATTTTTACATATCTCAATTTTCTTTATAATCAATAGTCTTATAGTAGTTGAAAACAGTGTTGAAACAAAATTTTCTCTGCAACTGTTAATAAATATGTCTCTGTGTGTTTACTACATGGCTGTGTAGTGGCCTTTACCATGATACAGAATGCAAGGACCATATTTTAGAAGTATACTGCTTTGGTCATAAAGGACCAGAGAGCATTCTGCTCCAATCTACCAAAAAAAGAAACTTTGTGCAATGACTAACTCTGTAAAATTTCAGTAAATTAAGATTTTTGAAATTTTGTAGGTTGTTCAAAAATGAAATTTAAAATATGCAGATTTCATGATAACTGCTTCTGTCATTTTATTGAATGTTCTTTTATAATTCCAAGCCAAAGGACTTACGTCATCAAACAATTCCTTTAATTTGTATATCTATTTCTCTTCCTACCTTTCGATTTATGTCTGACTGGAATAATATGTGTGCCACTGAACCATGAGTGCATTAAGTGCTTAATGATAATACAGCTTTTAGAGTCATTTTATCGCTACCTGTACTCTGCTATCTAGAAAGTTATCTCTTTATTTTACAAGCTAAGTGATCTTTCATGTCAAATTGGCATTGAATTTTACTTCCTATCTTATTTTTCTGAAGATATGAATGAACCTGACTTTTTTTTTTTTTAATAGATACGTGAGGTCAAGAACAAAGCATGACATTGACATGCGAATAGGGATACACTCAGGATCAGTTCTATGTGGGGTGCTGGGCCTGCGAAAGTGGCAGTTTGATGTCTGGTCGTGGGATGTGGACATCGCAAACAAACTGGAGTCAGGTGGAATTCCTGGGTAAGGCAATACATATTTCCCACACTCAGAAATATTGTCAACACACAACAGGGTTAACCTTGCCAACAGATTAATTCTCTTTACATTGTTTAAGCAACTGTGACATGCTTTTTTTTTTTTTTTTTTTCTCTAATGCAATTGGCAAGGATTTGGGAGGATTTATTCATAAAAGGTGGACAAGGCCATCTTACAGAGCTTTTGGAAAAGACAACAAAGTTTCTCTTCCTTTGATAACTGTTCAGATCTTGACACTACTCTACTCTCCTGAAAATGGTCAGTGGTTGTATTGAGCCCATATAATACCCTAAGGTGATCCAAATTTCCTAGTTAGGTCTTGTCCATTCCTGAGTTTCCTGAGGCTTCATTATCTGTTCTTCTGCATTCAAATGATGCTGTGAGGTATGAGAGTGCAATTTAATCCATAATCCATACTAATAAGTGTGGGAACAGTTATGTTTTAATATAATGTTACACTAATAACAAGGAATTTTGATGATCAACCTTTTTAGGCACTGTTTTAAACAATCTAACACTTTCATAGACATTTTGAGTCATTTATGTTAGTGTATCTGTATGTGGAAATATCGCAGAATCCCAGAATGGTTGAGGTTGGAAGGGACCTCTGGGGATCATCTAGTCCAACCCCCCTGCTCCAGCAGGGACATCTAGAGCACATGGCACAGGGTCACATCCAGGTGGGTTTTGGAGGTCTCCAGAGAAGCAGTTTTTCTTTGTCTGAGGTAACAGATTCCCCTGCAGGGTAAAATGTTATTCCTGCCTGTCATGACTCTTTTCTCACTGTGGTTTTGAAGCCAAAGCCTCTAAGGTTCAGTGAGGACTGCAGTAATGTCCTGTTCAATATTAATCCCATCTTCCACTGATGTGTATGGAAAAGGATCCCATATAACAACACATTTTCTGGCCATAGAAAGTAGAAACAATATCCATGAAGACCTTTATACAGTAAAAAAGTCTAAGCGATGTTGTCATCTTGGGTAGTGAGGGATGTTTTAAGTCATCAGATCTGAGATGTGTGCTATGCTTCCCACACATTCACATGAATATGTCTAAGCAGCCGTGTTCCCAGAACATTATAAAGATATTTGCATTATATATGCAAACAGCAAACCCTTCCACCATTGCCCGTAATCCAGCTTTAGACTAATATACAAATTTTTGCAGGGCTAAGAAAGGCCAGATGTATCTTTTTTAACACAAGCAAAATGATTAACTAAGTTTCACCATCCACTCCTGCATAAAGTATAATTATTACTGCTAATGCATACAACTAATACAGCTACTAATGAATAATCCTGAGTACACACAACCTTGCTGTTGTCAATAAAAAGCCTGGCTAAATTGTAGTCTACTGGTGCAGAGTGATTTTCACTCCTATATATCTGTTTGCTAACAGAGCGAAACGTGTATGTGACAGCAATTCACTGTGGCCTTCGAAATAGTGATTTACGTCAGACTTTCCTGGGGCACAGAGCAGATTTACTAGAGAGCAGTTAAGGTCACTACAGCCTCTCCTGTCTTGTCCCTGTCCCCAGCATTTAAGTCCCACTGCCTGCCATGGTACTGATATCATTCACATGCCCAAGGCTACACTACTTTTCTCTGCCTCTCCAGTAAAGCTACCCCCAGGTCACAAATGGTCCTATTCTTACATGAAGAAGGAAAACGAGCAGAAATGGGTCACAGGCCTTTCTTGAGCACACTGTGGAGTGAAACAACCCTTGTGATCATCCCTCCAGCAAGTCTGGGTGCAGGAGGGCAATACCTCATCCATGCATCAGAGGAGAGGGATTTCAAACTCCCCTCCCATGGCTTTGCATCTGCCACCAAGATCTTGTAGAATCAAAAGCAAGTATTGGTCAGGGACCAGCTGCCCCTGAGCGAATCAGCCTGACAGCCATAGTCAGAAAGAATCTAGTGTGCTGGGGAAAAAAAATAAAAATAAAAAATAAAAATTCTGCATTTCTGAGAGAAAAAAATGTGTCTGGAACACCTGATAAGGAAACCGTATAAGATCCCATATTGTTATTTCAGAGACATGCTTCTACCAAGCTCCAGATTTCTATTAGTCTTTTCCTGGTGCATCTAGGTTTTAATCTATTGAATTGGCATAAAACCTAGCAAATAATTAATTTTCCAGGATGTATAATTGACAAGGATTGACTAAAGTTTTGGACCTGATTGTGGCTTGACATGTTTTTCGCATCGACTTACTGGCTTCAGTGCTCAGGCTCAGGTGCATGGTTTACTGTGTTTGCCTTAAATTAGAAAATGACCTTTACATTATACTTCTTTTTAAGTAGCTATGCAAAGGCAAAAGCAGACAACATTTTTAATCTACCAACTTTTTATTAATATTTGGTCCATTTAAAGGTAATACATCAATAGCCAGCTCCATGCTGTTATCATTTCCATTATAAAATCCATATTTTATGGCTTTATTATGCAATCTTCTGAAATTACATTAGGTTGAAACTCAGCACAAAGATAGTCACCGTGGCAACTAATGTATCATTTTCTTTCTCTTTCTTCCTTATTTTTTTTCTCTTTTTTAAATTAGTATTTTACTTAATTTAGCCTGTTTAGAATTCTAACCTAGGAAATGCATTGCCCTTCTGAGATATTGTATGTCTGATTTCAAAGTCCAGGCCAAAAGTTCTTCTATTTGAGTGCTTCTATTTGAGAAACAATTTTTCTGACATTTAGCAACAAGAGAGTATTAATCTCTATGGACATCATAACAACATGTCTTGAGACAAATCAAGTTGTAATGAACCTGTATTAACTTCAGTGAGAAGATGAGACTGGTTTAAAAATGACTAAGAAACAAAATTTTGGTCTCTTAATTATATACTGAAATTGAATGCTCCACATAGACTCAGTTTGTGCCAGGTTCTGGTACTTCTGGACATCTATCTCACAAAGCTTAAAGACAACCAGCAATATTTACAAGATAGTTCTGGCAAGGCATGTTCATCACACAGGAGCATTTCACCAGTATTTTGTGTAACATAACTTTGCAATGGCATGCTTTAAGTTCCAGAAGAAAGTCCCCAGGTGAACCTGAGAAAAATACATGTCATTGAGCAATGATTATAAATTTTAGCTCTCTCTGAATATTAGGTATTTGATTGTAAGCCTGACTTTGAAAAATTGCCTGGACTTCAAACTTTGAAAAACAAGCCAATTTTAAAGTATCGTAAAGATACACCACATTTACTTGTTAGACTTAGCTAAATGTTTAATGACCATCTCCTCTTGTTGTATTTTTGATGCTGTCTTACTACTTGCTCTGCTAACTATACAGATATGTCTCAGAGACATCCAAAATTTACCTTAAATATAGACAGTGGAAGATTTATTGAAATCAGTAACAAGCAAGGCCTGTTCTTTCTATATTTTGAACCTCTTTCTGTACTTCATAGTAGTCATAGCGATGGATGGGAAAACCCAAATAACAAAACGCCTGAGGTTTGGTAGGAACATATCAACAGCCCTAACACACTTTCACATGAGATCTCCATGTCTTCTCCTAGGTCCTACTACATGTTTTAAAAGCTTTCCGAACACATCAGTTGCCCTTACCAGAGATTATCACTGCACCTCTCTGTCTCTGGAACAGTTCTTATAACAATTCCTTAATTCAGGTACAATCAAAATACTAAATTGTCTAAGCTACCTCAGGTAAGTGCAGGAGATTAAAGAGATCTCACACAAACTGCTCTAAAAAATAACATACATTCCTTCAACTATATCTGAAATGGCAATTTTGATTCACTCAGTTTTACTTATTGAAGTCTCTCATTAAACTGTTACTGTGAGCAAAGGTATCAAGAGTGAATATCAAAGTGTTTTTCTTCTGACAGTACTTTGTGCATTCATAGAGGCTTACAGATGTGAACATGTCTGGACAATATTTGCCCCAAATGAAGTTTGTGTTTCTAAAGAACTTGCGAATCAGAAATAATTAATGGCATTATGTTGAATACATATTTTATTATATAAATCATCACAACCATAAAATACATATTTTATTATATAAATCATCACAACCAGAAGAAAGACCTCTTTTTATCCATCATGTTAAGAACAATGCTGAGTCCATAACCCTCCTTCCCTCCTATATGTACTAAAGCACAGTCAGTATTTGTTGCTACTTATTTCACCTATGCAGGAGAATCCACATCTCCAAAGCCACTCTTGACTGCTTGAATGGGGATTATAAAGTTGAAGAAGGGCATGGCAAAGAGCGCAATGAATTCCTGAGAAAGCATAATATCGAGACTTATTTAATCAAACAACCTGAGGAGAGCCTGTTGACTTTGCCTGAAGACATCGTGAAAGAGGCTGTCAGCTCCTCCGACAGGAGAAACAGTGGGGCAACATTTACCGAAGGTTCCTGGAGCCCTGAACTTCCATTCGATAACATAGTGGGAAAACAGAATGTAAGTCAAACTTCCTTTAATGTCTCCAAGTACGAAAGCATGCCTGAGCGCATTTCAATAAGGGTAGCCTCAGTGGAAACAAATTCATCTGTAACCTTTTCTCCAACACATACTGTATCCTCAGATGATTAAACAAATTGCTTCAGGACAGAATTAACCCATGTATCCAAACTGGGGAAATGTCAGGGACCTGGGGATTTTTTTTTTCCTCATCCAACAGAAACAAAATAATATAGAACTTTATTTGAAACAATCATTAAAGAAGAAATTTAATGAGAAGTAAATGTGACCAAACTAGTTGGGACATTCTGGTCAGAGCATGTATCTTGCATAGCTTCACTGAATTGCAGTCGAAGTAGAGAGACAAGTGAAGGGACATTCTGCCAGGGAAAGAAGCATAGTATAAGTTATTGATATATAGTACAAAGAAAATGGTTAGCTTAAAAAAAAAAAAAAGAAGTTCTTTATAATAAGAATTTAACCATTCTTTACTTTCTATTTTTGTGATAAAAATATAAGAAAAGGAGCATCTAAGAAATAATTAAGGTTAAATAACAGATGGGTTAGAGTCATGTATATTTTAACAAAAATGGGAGAAATAACAGCTGCTCCTGGTCAGACTTTTTCCAAAAGCAATGCATGACTAACTGCTATCAGCCCAGGAAAAACAGTCTTCTTACCATCATAAAAATCACTTGTGAAGTCTTCTTGCTTAGAGGAATTAAAAATGGAAACATTAAAATGCCCTCAGACACCACTCTTCATTGCATTTGAAAGATTGATGAGTCATTATGAAACAAGGTCAGTTGGAGTTGCCTTCTATTTTTCTGAGAGGGATCGGTAATGACATGATATATCCTTTCTTTTGCTGCACATCCTTAATCCTACTGTTTGCAATGTCTCCAGGACTTCCAGCATTGTTGCATGGAGGTCTTGCTTTGTCAACTGACTTTTGCTTCTTACAAATCTGCTCTGAAGTGATAAACCCTCACAACCAATCAGTCCCTGGTGGTGCCTTCATCTCTCCCAAGTGAACTGACGCATGGCATAGTTATATAAAACTCTGCTGTTATATAAAACCTTGTTTTTTATATATGTGTACATCCATGTAACATACATTTATGCTGCATTTTAGTATTCACTGCATTTTGTCAACCTGTCTCTGTCTTCCCATTTCACTGAGAATTGAGATATGAATGCATGCTGCCGAGAATCTCTCTTCTAAACTCTCTCTTTATTTCTTCTTCTTTCCATTTAAGACATTCTAAAGACAAGTCCAAAAAAAATCATGCAGATTAGGCTATCTTTTCATTTTCAGATAAACCTGACCTTGACATCAATAACGAAGAGGGAAGAAAATAACGGAGTAGCAATTTTATACCAACTCACATTTAACAGGAAAAAAAAGTCTATGAAATTATTGACATATGCATAAATAAACAATTGTCTTAAAACAGATTTCTGTCTTGTGGCTACAAAATAAATAGATTTTTAGCATAGTTTTTTTAACTGAAAAATCTTTTTTTCTATTGCTGTAAATAACTACAATTCTATATTACATACCACTTCACAGTAAGCCTTTTGAAGGAGAGAAGGTTTAAGAAGTCTGCTATTCTATGACTGATTCAACTTTTATGTAATTTTTACCTTCAAAGTTGAGAAAATATGCATTATTGCTCATAAATAATGGATTTCAATTCAAAATTCAGATAGTAGATTTAAATTGTACTAGGATATAATGGCTTTTTATATTTTAGAGGTATGTCTGTCTTGGACAGAATAAGCATTTAATAACATTTATTATGCAGCTTAAAAGTCACTGGCAGCAGCAGATGTTGAGAATCCAAGCAGCAGCAACTCAGCAATGAATCACTCCATCTGCTTGAATATTTGTTAATAGGACTTACGTGATTGCATTACTCTGTATAAATTGCAACAAAATTTGAGTAGCTCTCAAACTCAAATTCATCACTGCCCATGTTCTTTATTCCAACTTCATTCCCTATGGATGTCCTAAGTCGACATTTAGGAATGTTGATGTGACTGAGAAGCAGAATAGCCATTCTTTTTTTCACGTAATATGGACATTAAAAAAAAATCTGAATTTTTGGTTCATGGTTACAGCATGGCAAACGTGATTGTAAGACTTTGGTTGTAAGTCAGGGATGTAAATGTCTGTGCTGAAATTCAGACTGTGCCTAATATGGATAGTGTTTCCTGTTATGGAAACAGGCTTCTCAGGATCTTTTCTAAAGCAAAGAAAGTTGGGCAGAAGTTATTGTGAACAGAAGCTAAGAGAGCTGATGGAGTTGGATTGCTTCTCTGGGCCTTACTAAAGTAGTAGTTGAATGCAGAATGTTATCACTGATGCTGGAGGCAGCTGATATGACTATTATCAAGCAAATTTAAAAAAAAGAAAAAGGCAAATTAAAAGCATAACTTAATGATGGTTGCAATGAGTATTATCAGTTATCAAAAAAAGATACTAAAAGATTCCTATGGATGGCAGATGAGCATAAAAGGCAGAGGTGGAATTCAGTTCAAAACTGAGACATTAACATTTGTATACGGAGATTGGGCTATGCGTCTAGTGCCCCACTCAACTCAGTTTCTATACATGAGGGTCTACTGCTATTTGAAGTGCTCTAGGGTTCCTGCATCATCCATATGTGCCTGATATAAGAAGAGATCTGTAGAAGACCTGTGTTCACCTGGTCTGCTATCTGAAACCCAGGTAGGAGATCCTATGATGTCTCCAAAAGCATTACTCACTTATGCTGAAACAAGTGAATTCTCCTAGCTAGTGAGTTACCTGAGTACACTATGCTCCACTGGCTGTGTTGATTAAGAATCTGACTCAGCTTCTTGGTAGTGACTAAGTGTGACTATCTTGGTATCTCCAGTTAGTCCCCACCCACCTGTGAGAAGCACATGGACCTCCTATAGGTCTCTTACATCACATCTCCTAGCTTCAAATCATAGCCTTGGATAACCTAGGGCATCTCCTTTGACAACAGGTGAACATGACCGTGTAACTGAAAGCATCCAGTGTCCCTTGTCAGTAACAGAAGCTGAGACACCAAGCATGTACACAGCCGAACTTAGGTGTCATCTTCTTGAACCAAATCTCACCTATATCCTATCTGCTAAAACGTGTGACCCTTGTATGTCACTCCAAGACCTTTTGTTGACAGCATGAAAAAATATATATTTTAAGCCTTCTTAGAGCTTCTAAATGTTAGTGATTGTAATTTTGTTGCTTTGTTGAAGCCAAGATGATTTGATTTGTTAAATGAAAGCTTTATAGGGAGAAAGGATGTAAAAGCTAAATTCCGTTATATTTTTAATGTTTCTGCAAAATATTTGTAAAGTAGTTCCTTGTTATTTATATTTTTATTCACATTGTCATTTATACTCAGATTCAAGTTCAGCAAGGTTTATTTCTAGCAGAACTTTTCATGCATTCCCATATAATATATAATAATTATCCACATCAGGAAAAGACTATCCCGTGTTTTTCAAGCCAGTAGTGCCTTGAAGAGTCATAGTGCATTGTTATAAGCCTCAGACAGGTGGTCTGTAAAAACACTATGATCAATCTGAATAAAAGCAGAAATCACAACATGGAGACTGTTTCCAATAAAGAGGTTAGTTAGTATGGAAGTATAAGAGACCAAGGGAAAGGGAGGGCATTGATAGCGTTCCGTTAGTTCCAGAAAGTTTTGAACTATGTAATGTTGTGTCAGAATAATACATCTGTGAAAATTTTTACAATTCAATTTCACAGAACAATCATTATTAAAAATTCCAGGAGTTAGTCAGGATACCCAAAGTAGGAAAAAAAAGATTAACTAAAAAAATACTAACACTGGCATCTGTCTCCTTGCCCCAGTCTACGTTTATCTATGTAAAAGTGTTGTGTACATAATACTTTTTCTTCAAGTGTTATGACCAAAACCATCCAAGTCCAATTCTGTCCTTCGTATGCATGTTCCCTGGTCTTCCACTAGAGTTTCAAGTATAAAGCAGAACTGATGAGAAGGGCAGAATTTGGTCCCTTACAAGATATGCATCAATATCTTCCATACAGCTGCTCACAAAAATGTAGAAGTAACAGGGACGATCAGTATCTATTTATGTAGACATAACACAGTCTTAAAAGGTGCAGAATGAAGAAGGAGATAGAGAAACATTTGATTAGTCTTGGGCCAATAACATGCATGCTTTTTTTAATCCTTACTATTGATTACAGGGAAGCAGTTGTCTTAAGTGTATGTATGGGTGTGAGGGAGAGACTCCATCAAACTAAAATATGAATTTCTTCTTGCTTTTCTTAAAGAAAAATGCATCTTCAGAGTCCATTTTTGTACCAATACCAGTGGCAGCATTGCCACAGAAGTGATATTGTGGCATGTTTATCCATCACCAAATGTAAACCAGTTCATACATTCAGCAAAAATTATTTGAATAAAATTAACCACTTATTAGGATTAATTGAGGTCATTCCCCTCATATAAATGAAAAACAATGCCCAACTAAGACTTTAAGTACTAATTGAGAGATAGTAGCATGAATTCATTCTGAGGAATTAATGCACATATCAGCAGCTGAAGTGATCTTATCCTTTAGTAATTTGAGACCCTTTTGTGAGCTTTCAGTCCCACATACTGATAACAGCTTTTCTGTACAGGTCAGTTTAAAAGAGAAATGTCAACAGTGCTTTAGTCAGTAGTACCACAGTATTTTTCCATTTGGCTTAGTTTGTTTCTCTGGGGCTTGCTTTTACCTTAGAGTTTCCATTTTAACTTCAAAGTTAAAATATAGATTCAAGGATATCTGAATTTTTATTACGAGAAAGATTACTTTAATTCTTTTTTTCCAAACATTGATGATATCGTTTGTTTTTGGAAGGAAGACGGGATGACCTGAGTAGAGCCATTTGCCAAAAAAGTGAAGACCTTTTCCTACTGAAGCTAATGGAAAGGTTGTCTTTTCCTCCAATAGACAGAATATTTCAGTCCTGATATTCTTGTTCTGTCTATATATTTGGCTCTTATTTTACTCTTCCAAACATAGAATATGAGAGAAAAAAAAAAAAAAGAATCACTTCATCTGTGTCTATGGAGTCCTGGGACTTTAATCATGTCAGAGAAAGTTGTTGATGGTTGTTTGACAGTGTATACTTAAACTCTTCCTGTATTTTAATGTACATTCCAAGATTTGTTAGAAGGTACTTGCTGGCCGTACTTTGAATATTAACAAGGGAAACTTCTGTCTCTCATTGGCTTCATATAATCACATGATCCATAAGGACTAGTTTTCCGGGGAAAACCAGGATTTTATTCCAGCTTCCTGTGCCCAGCAATGGCCAAATACAGTAGAAGATGTTTCCAGCAAGGAGCTAGAGGATAACTATACCAATACAAAAGAATATATTTATTGTCAATAAGAAGTGTATTCTGCTGTGATGTATGAAGGTTTATATTCTTTGCATTCATTAACATTTCTCAACTCCTGAGAGTATCCTAGAGTTTGTTTTCCCATTCAGCTTATTGCTTGACCATGGTTTGTATCATGAAACAGTATCATGAAACCTGACAGAGTTATTCTTTTTATGAAAGCAAACTCTGCTTCCTTCCTGAAGGTGAAGCATCCTTTGTATTATTTCCACTAGCTTTCCTTAGCAAGCTGTGCAAGAATGCAAGAACCAATTTTTTTTGAGTAGTCAATGAAAGAATCAAAGGAATAATGTAACGAACTGAGGTGTCATTTAAAAATAATAGGAATTACAGTTAAGTTACAATGTCTAACTGTAATCTAGACTGGCTGAAATATACCAGTAGTGAAGAAGAGCATATTATCTGAAAACCCACAGTGAAGTAATCAGAAATGTCATCTTCTTCACTCCTGCCTAAATGATCTGTTCCTTAACTATGCACATCCAGGAACTTTAGTGTCATGGAAAACATATTTTCTTCTGTTTTGCTTGCAACTTCTGTTTCTGCAGCTTCCATTCTTAGTTGTTAAAACACTCCATAGACTTTGATACCCTGTTGTGATTTTAGTGTGTACTCCCCTCATGCATGTTTTAATAATTAATCAGAATAATCTGGAAGAGGAAAAGTATTCCTAGCACTCAGTGCATCAGCAAACCTGTAAAAAACAGGACATTAAAGTTCCCCACTTTATGTACTGTATGTGTTTAGTGGAACAGACATTATTTTACACTACTGTAGATTTCATTGAATGAATTGCATGGATGCTGTAATGGTTTGCAATGCAACATGAACTAAAACATTGCATTTTTAACCCAAGGGGACCAGCAGGTTTATTCTGTTTGCATGTGCTTTCCCCTAGACTCTGGCTGCCCTAACAAGAAATTCAATAAATCTGCTTCCAAACCATCTTGCACAAGCTTTGCATGTCCAGTCTGGGCCTGAGGAAATTAACAAGCGAATAGAGCACACCATCGACTTACGAAGTGGCGATAAATTGAGAAGAGAGCATATCAAGCCTTTTTCACTGATGTTTAAAGACTCCAGCCTGGAGCATAAGGTAGCTGGGTCTTGATAGCTGCATTATTTGCAACTCAAATTGTAATAAATGTCCACTGAATTAGAGAAGCTCAAGGTTCTAGCTTTGCATTGTCTGTTTTCTGTTTTTGTTTTGTTCTTCTTTTTTGTTTTGTTTCAGAAGTTTTCAGAAGTTTCAGAAGTGATTGAACTGGAGGTCATTAACAGATAGCTTTGTGACACAGGTGTTATACTACTGTAATGATTAAATTGCATTGTTGGAAAATTCCTACACTGCACAAATTCTGCTTCTGAAAACAACAAAAAAACATTTGCCAGTTTTAATTTGCTTTCTGGTATAGGCAGTTTTACTTCAGATGACAAATTGCTTTAATACAATTAGGGATTAAGCATATTAATAAACTAACATATCCAATCAACCTATATATCTATATTTATATAGATATGTTACTTTCATTTAGCAGTAGATCCATCTGATGTCCTCTAGTCATTTGCTATTTTTATTTCTAGTCAAAATGAATCTGTCAACTCTTTGTTTTGGATATCTCTTTTTAACATCTGCTTCTAAGAGGTAAATATTGTTTATATCTTTGCTGTTTCTCAACAGCAGCATGATCTCACTAATTTCTATCTCAGTCTACGTTCAGATTTAAGTGTTAAGTTGAAAAGAAGAATTTCCCATGAAAAACAACCACACTGGGGTTTTCAGCACAGATTTCAAATTATTTCTTTTCTGCTTATTAAAATGCAGTAATAGCAGTTCTCCGATGAGATATGCACTTAGATGAAAAATAAAGAAAAACGTCAGAGACTGCAGCCATGGAGGCCCTCTTCTCCATTGTCACTCCAACCTCCTCTGAACAAATACACTTATTTAGCTGACTATGGGAGACCAATCCTCAGGTGGTATCAATTGAAACAGTTTGATAAAGGCCAGTGGAAAGAAAAAATTATGCTTGGAGTTTAAAAGTAGTCCTACGGAAGAAAAAGGAAAGTAAACTTTAAAAGAGAGAGGGAGAAAGGCAATTTCTCCCTCAGAAAAAAATATATTAAATTAGAAGTCCCAAGTCATGACTATCATGAATCTTTTCAAGTTTCAAGTTCTAAAGGCATGGCAAAAAGGTCTAGAGCAGAATGTATGCAACTTAGAAGGTGGGAGATGGTGAGTATAGGGGTATAAAACTTATGTTGGTTTCAAACAATTTGCTGAGTGAACAAACTACTGAATGATGACCAAGTTACTATCTAACATAAAAAACACCTGAACATGGGCTGGAGGTGATGGGGATTGTCCAAAATTACAATATACACTTTATTATATGTTCAGATTGCACAACCACAAGTAAAATCTAGGCAGAAAGGGTTGGAGTTCATCAAAGTACAAAACAAACAAAAAACAAAAGAAAAGCCCAAATCTTAATCCATAGCATTACATAGATTATACCTGAATTATTAATGAAATATTGAATTATATGACAAAAAAAAGTCTTTTAAAAAGTCAAAATTTTGCCACTTATGATGCATCTTCTTCTCAGTATGATTTTTCCAATGCCAGGGTATGTTGTAATACTTCAAAAGTGGTACATTTGTTCCATATTTCCTTTGGTCCTTAACTCAGCTGGCAAGCACAGGCAGCACAAACAGAAAAATCCTTCAGTAAAGCAGACTGAATCTTATTCCTGCCTTCTGAATTGGGATAGTTTTAAGCACTGTGAGAATTTAAGGTAGAAAATATCAAAATATCAAGAAAATATCAAAATATCAATTATTTACTCTGCTCTACTGGCGTCTTTCCTTTTGGGTATTTGCCTCCAGCAGCCTCCTTTGTTTGTGTTCAGAGTGCCAAAGCTACCACAGATGTGCTCAGCAAAAGACCAGGAATGCATCTGGATGCCTAGGAATGGTGCAGGTTAAGGACAAGTGATTTGATTCACTGATTTATAGGCAAGGGCAATATCTCATGGGAAAATGTGGAATACATCCCTTCCTTCTCTCCTTGTTTGCCAGTGCCTGGTTTGACCTGGTAACTTTAGTGTTAATTCACAGTTTAGAGGCAATCATGAAAAAATAATGGGAGAATTCTGTTTTTTTTACAGCAGGTAGCTATTTATTCTGTGTTATCTTATGTTACTATCATTTTCTCCCTTCCTCCTGCCCGTTTAGAAAAGAAAACAATACAAACTCAGATTTAAATTGGAGTTTCATAAAGCTATTTCAGAAGTCTTTTCCCTCTGCTCTCTCCACCCCTAACCTTTCAGTCTGAAATTATGCTTTCTTCCAGTCATTAACATTTTGCAACTGCTTACCCTGACCTTCTACATCAGCATCCTGAGCTGCTCCCTGCAGTGTTGTTGGGCAAATAGACAGTGCACGTCTATTGCCCTCCCGTCTCACACTGCTTCTTTTCATTTGCTGCCTGTCACCTTCAGTTCAGCACAGTGGCTACTGCAAGTCAGAGGTAACTCTGAAGTAAAATAACTTCTCTAATGTAAAATCAGATGTGGTCACATTTAGTCATCATGCTTTTAGGCAGCACTGGCCTCTGCCTAATGATTTTTTCTCTTACCTGTAAGTGCATTTCTCCCTCAATTTGCATTTATTCCACAAATGGAATAGCCAGAGCTCATAGCTTAGCTTTCTACCAAAGAGTGTCTTGCTGTTAAACTTATTCAATTGTGCTAATGGTATATGTCTCTAACCACAGAAAAGTTAGTAATCATATAAACAATAAACTGTATTTCTTCTTCCTGTATAAGTAAAAGGACTATTGTGCACTGTGATTGTACATCCTCTTTAATGGCTTCAAGGGATGTGAAATGCCTTGCTAGACTTATATTGGCTCCCTAAATGGTAAGGTTTTTTTCATTAAAGAACAGTTACAAATCTACACTAGCAATCAATTTGCTGATTTGCTTCTTTTAGGGTTATAAAATGTAAAAAAAAAAAAAAATCAGGATACGCAGAACCACCAGGAGAATTAGTGTAGTTCTTGCTTTATAACAGTTTAAACCTCTTACTCCTCCTTTAACTCATTGCCCATTATTAGGCACCCTGGTTACAAATAACACAGAAAAAGCAGAGTTGCTCAATGCCTTCTTTGCTTCGGTGTTTACCAAGGGCAGCCCTTTAGAGCCCCAGGCCCTAGAGACAAGAGAAGAAGCTGGTGGAGAGGAAGACTTGCCCTGGGTAGAGGAAGATTGGGTCAGAGAGCACCTAAGGAACCTCGATACCCACAAATCCATGGGCCCTGATGGGATGCACCCCAGAGTGCTGCGTGAGCTGGCAGAGGTCATAGCTAAGCCGCTCTCCATCATCTTTGAAAGATCCTGGAGAACGGGGGAGGTGCCGGAAGACTGGAAGAAGGCCAATGTCACACCAGTCTTCAAAAAAGGCAAGAAGAAGGACCCAGGCAACTACAGGCCA